AAAGTACTTTATTTTCAAATTTCTGAAATTTTTTTCGTCTTCTAAAGTTAGTGACCACGATTTGTTGCCATAATGGACTACCGGTAAAATAATCGTTCTGTTTTGTTTTTTTAATCTCCAACTTCTTCTGCAGTTTATCCAAGGTGGGCATTCGACAGATACATTTAGCAATGAGTGTAGTTATATTATATAGATGTTCTCTCAATAGAGAACATATTTACAGTAGGTAAAAAAAAATTGTATTAGCTTATTTTGTAAGAAGATCTTTCGGGTGTTTCCTGTTCCACTTTCTAGGTATAATTTCAAAATATAGTTTTCTTACTGGATCACTTGGTCACCACAGATTTAAATCGGTTTAATTATTCCCTTGTATAATAATATCTTATTATTTATGTTTTGTTCCAAATTTTTACTTGTAAATCATTACATGTTCCGTTTTTCGTGTATATATTTGTTCTATTTAAACTCTTATATGTCATTTTCATGTTAGTTCTTGCGTCCATGTGAATCATTCTGGAGAATTTTTATTATTAGATGCATAAACAATCCTTGCGAACAAAGTAATTTATTAACCGAATAATAATCATGCTTTTTGTAAATTAATTCTTTTCTTAAACTCTTCCCTTATTTCATTAGTTCGATTTAGAATCGATCCCAAATTCTTAAAATTACTGATCCGCTCAAAAATTTTATCACGAACTACAAAATTTCCGTTATTATGAATAATCTGAATTCTATATGTGTGTGTGACCATATATATTGATTTTATTCAATACTTATTTACAACCTAAATTCTTCCGCTTATCTAATAAAGTTTTACAGTTATTAAATAGTGTCTGTTTATTATTTCCCAATAAAGCAATATCGTCCGCATATGTTAACACTAGATTGCCAAAACGAGTCAATTTGATTCATTTATAATTTTATTGCTAGATATTTATAAAAACTTAAATAATTTTTTTTATAACAAATGTTGGTTTTTTATGAAATGTATACAAATACTAATTCCTTCATCTCTCCACTTTTTAGTTCCCAAAATCTTTATGTTATACCTATTTTGTCGGATGTGAGTCAAATTAACTCATTTTTAAAGGTCGTTTTACACACATGTAACCTATTTTTTGTTCATAATAATTGTTTGTAAACAATTTGATGCGATTGACTTATCATGTTCAAGTATCACGCAAAAAAAAATAGAAGTAATAGCGTTTGTACTACATGTAATAAAAAAATCTGCGGAAAATGTATTTTAAGAACAGAATATATATGTAATAATTATTTCGAATAAAGTTTCTTTAAAATAAAATGTGAATATTTTTTGTTTTAAAACTTTAATTTTAATGTTTGAGTCAAATAAACTCATTTCAAGCAAAATAGGTATATAACCAACATCCGGAAATTTAGTGTTATATGCAATTTATGTATGACTGTTTTAAATTGATATCTGCAATTCAGCAGATCATTAATTTAGTCGAAACGCATAAAATTTTATAGATAGTATTGCTAATCATAATCGTCAATCAAATTTCCATCTTCAAGGTTCCGAATAATAGACAATATTGAATTAACAATAAGAAGTACGTAAAAATCTATTGCCTATCGTCAGGGGCTTTAAAAGTTTATGATTAATGACTTTTCCCTATGAGTGTTATGATATCAAGAAAAATTATTTAGTTTTATCTAACAAACCTGTAAAGTTTTCATAAGTATGGTAAACCATGTTATAGGAAGCTGGTTGATATATACATGGGTAGCATCCTTCAATTGATGTTGTAATCGAGTTATCGCGCATAAAGTGCACACGCGAGGCCAAGGAAGCATTGCGGTAACGAGACATTGTCATGGAATCGCCCGTTAAAGCTTCACGTTTCAACGCATAAACCCTTCTAATCCTCCATATATATCTTGTTAAATGATCTACCGATCTTGCTAACTTTTCCATTACCAGCAGCCACTTTTGAAAGATGAAGCATTAAAAAAAAAAAAGAACCGATATTATCCGTGTATATTTGTTATAAAATGTATTTATTTTAAAACCTTCTGTAGTAAACAATTTTTAATCACACGGAAGTAATTTTTATTTGAAACAAATAAAATGTGGAAACACGTCAATTTTAAACGTCGAGAGAAACATTTTAAACCAATATTTAAACAATGTTTCGTTCTATTTTTTTCCACTCGAACTTTCAACCTTACTTTAAAATTTTTAACAACAACCCATTCCTACTTCGAAATATGTCATTTAAAAGGTAATAAAAATCTACTTCTAAACGCGTAAAATAGAATTTTAAACGTTACAAGAGCAAACAAAGTATACAACGTTGTCTCGTGTTTAGAATCTCTTGAGGGAAAGTAAACTGTTACAATCAAAACATAAATTAAGATAGTAATTAACTACCTCAAAGGCTACTTATAAATATTACGATAAAGCATACAATCAACTTAATATCTACACTATAATGCACCTACCTGAAATGCTAATATAATTATATTACACGTCGTAAATATAACCAGAAGCATCATAATTTGTAATTCAAAATGAAAAAGATCAAACAATGTATCCTTTGATATACAGGGTGGGGCAATATCTCTGTCCAGTTAGAATATTGTAGTTGTTTATAGCAATATGAAAAATTTTATATAGGCAAATTACACGGCATGATCAGGGGCATTTTTTGGCTTAAACGTTTTTTGCGTTCGTGGAAGCATAGAGGAGATTTCAAGGTCACCTGCATTTTTTTAAATGAATATTATTTTTTTTTTAATAGGATGTGATGGCAAATGTTGAGACGAATTTAACGAGCTATTATTCAAGGTCATGCGAGGTCAAATGTGGTAGACAATAAAGTTTCTTACATTACAGAAGATGTTCGAAGTGGTGACCGTTAACGCCAAAGCAAAGTCGTAATCTTCGTATTGCTGCATCGCGAACATGTCTTATCATTTCTAAACTTATGCTATTACATGTTGCAACTATTCTTTCTTTCATGTTTTCTGGAATAGGGTGCTTCTTGGTAAACCGCATTTTTCAATGCTTCCCATAGAAAAAAATCTAGTGGGGTTAAATCGGGAGAGCGAACTGGCCAAGAAACTACTTCTCCACGTCCTATCCATTTATTTGGATAAAGTTCATTCAGTGCATCTCTTACACTCCACGCATAATGTGCTGGACATCCGTCGTGCTGTAACCACATCATTTGGCGAACGTTTAGTGGTACATTTTCTAATAAAGTCCCCAATTGATAGTTGCAACATGTAATAGCACAAGTTTAGAAATGATAAGACATGTACGCGATGCAACAATACGAAAAGTACAACTTTGCATTGGCGTTAACGGTCACCACTTCGAACATCTTCTGTAATGTAAGAAACTTTATTGTTTACCACATTTGACCTCGCATGACCTTGAATAATAGCTCGTTGAATTCGTCTCAACATTTGCTATCACATACTATTAAAAAAAAATATAATATTTATTTTAAAAAATGCAAGTGACCTTGAAATCTCCTCTATGCCTTCACCCATGCAAAAAACGTTCAAGCCAAAAAATGCCTCTCATCATGCTGTGTAAGTTGCGTATATAAAATTTTTCATATTGCTATAAACAACTACAATATTCTAACTGGACAGAGATATTGCCCCACCCTGTATATATGTTGTACATATTCATAAAAACTGTTTGACATCGATTTATTCGAAAACAATACATTCGGAATTGAGTAAACGTAATGCAGATGTAGAATCCTAGCTAACCTTTGAACAAGCAACCGCTCACAAGGGAATATGCATTGAACGCCTTCAGATTGAGTTTCCTGTTAGCTTCTAGGCGAAGGTAGTAGACACATTGATGCTTCTAAGTAATTACTATATATGGCTATTGACGACAGCTCTATTATGCTACTCAATACTCGTGAAAATGACTATAGATATCTTAGAGAATAATACATGTGCGTGTTAACACTTACACACACACGTAGACATAAATACAATGAAATTTCACATCTCTATTTCTTTACTAATTTACATAAAATAATGTAACTATCTACTATATAATTTAACTTGCACTATCTTGCAAGTTAAATAAGAACACATGAGAATAAAAAAAATGAAAGCTTCAATTCGTTGAAATAATAGAATCAATTAATTGTAAGTTACTCTTTCAATGTTTAAATAAGGTTACAAAAAATTACAAGATTTTTCGATTTCTCATGGAAAAAGAAAAGAGTAAAGGAGAGAAAGAGAGAGAGAGAGAGAGAGAGAAAGAAATACTTTCGCCTCGATTAATAACGTAAAATTCGCTTTCCTATATAATTTGTCTTCTCTTTATTAAAAATAACTCATTTGTCCACGATATTTAAATTATCAGAATACGAGTATTGAGCTACGAGTACTGTTTTTCTGATAATTGTTTTTTCTTTTTACTTTCTCATTTATTTCTGTCATCGAGATGATAATAGCACAAAAATGAAAACATACATTTTTGTTTCTTTACTTGCAAATAACTGTTTATAGAATTTCATGATCATTAAAAGAAAACCAATTTACTAACAATTTTTTTATGTCCAATTATATTTTTTTCCAATAAAATCGTCTATATTCAGCTAAAAGTCACTAACTACACTTTTAACTTAAAATGACTTACATATGTATATACATTGCTTAAAATTTTATAAACAATTAAAATTTCCTTACTATTATTCCATAAAAGGCATTAATATTTAATACTATGTGAAAACATTAACAGAAAGCATATTCTTCCACAAACCTGACTTCTTCAATAAAAAATTTGTTTTACAAGCAATAATTCAGATTAGCATAAATTAATTAGTGGCTTTTTGTTGAACACAAACGAGATGTTCTTTTTTGTGCAGAAGAATTTAGAAATATATTATTACAAAAAAATATCAATTGTTTCTAATTGACAGTAGGGACAGGTACGAATACCTCTATGACTCACTGTAGGCATTTACTAAATAAAAAAATGAAAATCTATGTTTTAGAATACGCGAATTTGCAGAATGAACGCTTCATGGACAACGTATAAAGATCCAGAGACATGGTCGTCGACGTTGAATACTTCCTATTGGATGAACAAAAATGAATCCTACAGCAAAGACGATGGTACGAATTTAATGATTTTCTTTGTAAAATAAAAGAAAAATAAACCGATAAGAATAACGGAAAGCCTTTGTTTATTTAAAGGCATGTTCTTTATAAAATACGATTTTCTACGTTTTCATTTCACCGAATATAAAAGTTCACGCGATATATTTCAAGAAGTAAACTCAAACGCAGCGGGGAAAATACGAACAATCTTTTTTATTCTTACGGTTCATCACCGAGAACAGATGTTTCGGTTCTATCAGGTTATATTTGATTCTGTAGTGGCAGACGAGATATACTTATATCAGGGTTTTTATTATTTTGCATCGAGTGATATGTTGCATCCCTTTGTTCGATTCAAACTAAACATGCAAAAGTTTTCTTCGAATTTTAGCACTTTTTTGAAGTGAAAACTTCTTTAGAATGGGAGTGATCTGAAAAGTAAATAAACGGAAACGCAGCTATGAAACGCAGCTATGAAACGAAGCTATGTAACGAAGCTGTGTAACGAAGCTATGTAACGAAGCTGTGTAACGAAGCTATGTAACGAAGCTGTGTAACGAAGCTATGTAACGAAGCTATGAAACGACTGCTATAATAAATAATGAGAGAAAAAGAGACAAACATA